CCTTACTGTGACAATTGATAAAGTTTTCTGGATAACCATTAGCTAATAAAACTGAATGTATATGTCGAAACTCATCCATCAATGTGTCACTCGTGCATATTTTTCGGGCCCTTGAGAACAAACATTTCACTAGGGTACGTTTATACTGGATAGGGGAACAAAACTGGTAAAATGAAGATATTGTCCACTCCATGTCTGTTTACAACATATAGATCGCTTAATCGTTCTATGGTCTCTCCTAGTCAGTGAAGTATCCAAGAAACCTAGTTTGTTATTCGATTCGAATTCGGAATAGATGATTGTTGGGAATATTGGAAATTGTTGTCAACAATGTGCTGGCGTTTTCCATATTATTTTCAGTCATTTATATTTAAATTCAGACGTGTGTTTCTGTACACTCCATTATTGAGCATATTATCTCCGGATAATAATGTGCAATAAATTTTTTTGATGTAAATGTCATTCAGTTAGTAATTGTCATCATTAACTCTCTGTGAGTTGCAAGACAATATGATGCAGGATTAGTTTACTCCTACCCTTAGTGTAAAGATAAACAGAAGTGAAGTGAGTGAGCGTGTGAACAACATCAGTTAGAGAGATCATTGGAAACCGGGGAGCACTGGACAGCTAGCTGTTTTGGTCCTAGTTTGCGATTATTCGGCAGTACGTATCCACGATGGTGGTTCGTGATGGAAATCTAACAGTTGAAATGAATCAGCAATCTCCAACCAGCTCATTGATGATGGCTAGATGGCTAGAAATCTTGAAGCTGTAGTAAGAAGACGTGACCATTAAAGTCCGCCATGTTAAAACGTGTATTGGATGCTTTTACAAGGCCATTGGTTGTGGGCAGCTGTATATCGCAAGTTGACTAAGCTGGAATTCAAGCGTCATTAAATTCCTATCCAAGTGGCTGAATAATGGTCAATGAACTTGGTTTCATAACCTAAACAAACGTCTCGGGTTCTATTTCTGGTGGGTGTGCACTGATGAAGACCCCGAAACAAGGACGAAACAACTGTCCATAGCTCCTTAGTGTACAGTGAATGATCTCTCTAACTGATTTTAGTTCGTGACAAAATCTAACAATTTACATTTTTCTACTATATGATTCAATGAGGCTAATTATAAAAAGGTTGGCTATTTCGCCGCCTACATGGGCTTTTAGTCTCCACACATATTTCTTTACTTTTGTCATTATTTTGTTGATTTTTAGCCTTTCATTGTGTGGTATATCATAAGAAATTTGAACAGTTTTATGCATCTGTCTGTCTTTCAATCTCGTATATATATATATATTGTTATATTTTTCCTTTTTGCGTTCTACATACAGATGATATTATATATTTAAGCCGGACTTTTCAATCTTATATATATATATATCTCAGTGTGTGCGTGTGTGTCAATTGTTTGTCTATATTAAACGAATATGACATAATAACAAGAAAGTAAATTATGACAGTTTTGTATGCATGATTCATACAATGTGAACAGACTGAAAGGATTCATTTCTCTGTGTGTGTGTGTGTATGTGTGCGTATATACATGTATAGGAGTTAGACGTCTGAAACAAAATCTGTCTTAAAATATATCGCTTTGTTTTCTTAATGTATATACACAATAGAAATTCTATTATTCTGTTGAATTAGTTGTGTTCTCTGGACTGGTCAATAGAGACGTAGTCACGACAGTGGTGTTGCTAGGAGATACTATTACATCAGTCATAGACAATGCGATTCCATTATGGGTAAATTTTGTTTTGATAAAGTCTCACAGTGTTATACAGTAATGTTTACTGATGACGTTTCGAGCACAATTTATTGCCACTCATAATCATATCAAGGTAATCACACGACTTCCTGAATTCATTTATATAGTCCCGTGGCATTTAAACCTACAAACTCACTCAGGGACAAGCTCTGTAGGTTAAAGGACCCAGTGGACCCAATTAGACAAAATAATAGAATTTACAAAATACCCTGAAATGACTGTGAGGTCAACTACATAGGTCAAAGTAGTAGGTCAGGGGTAGTCAGATTGTCGGAACATAAGAATTTAGCTAAGGGAAGAATGGTTAACCCCGAAAAGATAAATAATCTAGAAAAAAGCTCAGCAATTGCACTACATGCATTAACACACAACCACACAATAGCATGGTGGGAGAGGATTAAAATTTTAAGAAGTAATCTAGGTAGGTGGAGAGGGAGATTGATTACTGAATCCTTGTTCATCGTATCTACACCCAACACATGTAATAGGAATGATTCATCACTCATACCTGAAATGTGGAAAATATTACTACCAATCAAATCAAGTGAAAATCAAGTGAAAAACAACGGAACTATATAAATGAATTTGGGAAGTCGTGTGATTACCTTGATATGATTATGAACAATAAATTGTTCTCGAAACGTGGTCATCAGTAAATATTACTGTATAACACTGTGAGACTTTATCAAAATAAAATTTACCCATAATGGAATTACACTCTACCACAGTGCACAAGTTTTATCCTTATATCAGTAGACAATGCGAATAAGTTCACTGATACTAAAACCTGTGCTGCAGATGTTGTCCAGCTGGGGGACGATGACGAAAGCTTCGCAGTTAAATCAACCAGCTCAGAGAACAAAATTGATTCAATATCATCCACCTGAGCTGCAGATCTTCTCCATTATTCTATTATTCTTGAATGCAACAAGTAGAAAAGGCACTTTTCAAGAACGTTTCCCAGGTATTGGGATGGAATATCGTCTTTGATTCCATGGTAGAATGCTCGCCAGCCACACACACCACACACACACCTAGTCTGGGTTCATTTCCTGGCTGATTTCTTCCTAAATCTCACCTGGTTTACTTCCGGTGAGTATTAACCTGTAGAAGAGGGAAGACCTGAGGCTAGCGACCCTACCTCTTAAAAAAAGAACACAACCGCTAATGGAACTTCAAAGCTCAGCGCTTGAGAAGCCCTAAAGTTCCCCTTGTCAGAATGCAAAGGAATGGACTGGGAAGGAATGATCACAAATGTGGATCGTGTTCTACAATATGAGTCAAGAATTCCTGTGCCATTAACACTATCGTTTCTTCTAGCTTGAAGTGTTGTCATATGGCATGTGATTACTTATTTATATAACTTCATAGCATGCGCATGCGAATTCCTATGTAGGATGTTAATAAAAGGTCTCACTTGACTGCAGCGTTGTGGGTGTGGTCCACGGTGGGTTGATTTACGAGATGTTGTATATAAAATCAAAGCATAATGAATATAAGCTTGAGACAATTAAGAAGCATAGAGTTTAATGTGCGTGATCCTTCGTTGTAGGTTGAGTTGCTACCCATATGGCTTATGCTACTGACAATAGTTGGTAAGCAGTGTATATACTGTTTAGTCTGGCGAAAATCTTGAATAGAGAGGAGCGAATTCACCTTCGATCCTTAGCTGTCTTTGATCATGGATGCCTGCATTCTATCTCTTGTGTTAGGTGGTAGTATACTAAGGTGAGCAATATTGAGGTTAGGATTCAGTAAAGTGCTAGGTAGGTGGGAGGGGAAATCAATCGACGAGGCTATGAAAGTACACCGACTGAGATGGTTAGGACATGTGTTACGTATGCCTAGTCATCGCCTTCCTCGACTGGCTATGTTAGCTGATATAGGGTCCGGTGGGAAGAGAGCTAGCGGCGGTCAAACCAAAACATGGCACTAGTCAATGAAATCTACAACGGTTAGTTTAAGCCATGTAGGAAGGTGTAGACTTCTAGGCTGGTTGGTGTCCTCAGGACGGTAAAAACCAATGGTTGGAAACAATTGGTGATATGGCTCAAAATCGTTCTTAATGGCGCAGATGCATCCACTCCTTGTGACTTACGATTTCCAATGAAACCATATTGTTCTTCATTATTACTATTCCTTTGTCTCACACCTCTGTTTACTGTCTCTATTTTGTATTTCTCCTACTTTCTTCTCTTGCTTTGTGTGCTACAAGGAGGGAGTGTGGCGACTTGAACTGCTGCACATCGGTGCAAAGTTCTATGTTGAAAACAGACAGACAGTAATAATCAGTTGGCCGTCTGAAAGGATTAGCAGCAATGGCCTCTGGCAATAAACCAACTAAGGACCTATTGCTCTACAAATATGCCAGAGGAAAGTGGAGATGAATGTCGTTGAGTGACACCATGCGCTAGAGACAGGCCTTGGAGTGGAGCCCGAATGGGAAACGAAGAGTTCGGCATTTGTCGGAGGATGACGGGGAGGCAATCGTGTAAGAAGGAGATGAAAGCTTACGGGCAGTCGTGGAGTCAGCAGACAACAGGATGAAATGAACATATTCTATAAAAGTCCTGCGTTTAACTCAGAACCGTTGGGGATAATAATAAGTTGTAAAGAGGAAAAGTGATGATAATTTTGAAGTAATATATAGAAAGCACGGAATGAAAGTAAGTGAAACAGAATACAGCATGATATCACTCACTGAGGAATGCAGGTACACCTAGCTGACGAGTCTTAAATAGGATGAAATGCACATCCTGGATTCCATTGCTAGTCACCACCCACCAATTAACTTCTAATTACATTGAAAGACATCGTCGAAGCATCTGCAAAAGAAGCCGACATGTCAACCTGAGACCGAGCACTTCGGTCCAATCAATCAACGGGGAAGTCCGAATTGAGTTAAGTAAGAATACACGAATACTTCCTTCAAATAAACTTCCAGTGTAATGATTCATTTTTTGCAATCATTGCACGTTCCCTTGTCAAAATAAATAATTCTACTGCCGAATATCGTTGTGTTGTGTTGCTGTACATCCAAACGAATTAACTGCAGCTTCTTTATTGAGCCTGGCTTATTCATGATAGTTATTCAAGCTTAAAAAAGTGCTATCTTTTTCAGTTTTTGGTTTGTTTAACTTTGTCAGTCCTTTTTATTGTGTATTGTATTTTCTGTCATCAGATGTATTAAACTGTTTCTTTGCTCTCTCTGTCTCTTTCATGTTCTACAGTATACATTTAGTAAAGATGGAAGTGTACATGGTGTTATGATAAGTCGACGTGCAGCTCTTTCACATTGTCGTGCACTGACTGTCGCCTGTAATTATTCTGAAGAGGATGTTGTTGTTTGTGTTGTAGACTGTCGTCGACAAACAGGTCTATGGCATGCTGTTTTAACGGTAATTTATGTTTATTTACTCTTTCTATTATTATATATATATATATACATATATAGTGATTAATAGTGGTATATAACTTCAGTTATATTGTAATTGTGTGTGAGGAAGAGTGAGTAGACGGGAGTTCTGTGTAGTTTTTTTCTCTAAGCTGGATGTTGCAATTGTGAAGCCCTAACTGCACTGCGAGGTTTACTAATCGTAGGCATAAACAACACCAAGAATGCTAGAGAACTGCTAGATGCTTGGTACCTAGATGAAGATTTCTAAAATCTCACTCCATATTGAAGTTAGCGCTGCAAATTTGGTCTAAAATGATAACACGAGCTTCGCAATTAAACAACCCAGTCCAGTGAACTCAGCTAACTACTAACCGAGTTCCAACATGCAACTTTGCACAGAAATACCAAACCCCATGTGTCCTACAAAGGTAGGGAAGAAAAAGTCTAAAAAGAAGTTTGATAGACAGGAATTTATGGGATAAGGAATGTAACATGGAGAAACATGAAGGTTTAGTGAATATGGGAGATGACGAAGAGTTGGTGCATCTGCGTCATTGAGAACGAACGACTTCGAACCATACTACTAATAGCCTGTAGTCATCGGTTCTCAGCATCCTGATGATCCCAACCAGGAAGTCTATGCCTCCCTATGTGGCTGAAACTTACAGTTGAATTCTTCATGGATTGTTGTCAGGCTTTGATTTGACCACCCCCTGACTCTTTGCTAATCTAATTCTGTGTCAACTAATATTGTTCAGTGTAGGAAGGCGGTGGCTCGGCATGCTGCTCAACACGTGTTCTAGCCAACTACACCAATATCATCCACTTTAGCTATAAATCTTTATCAACACTAGATTATATTTAATATAATTGTCTAACTGTAAGCATCAGTAGAAATCTCTTCATTGAATATGTCTAAGCAAGTGATGCGACGCCTTTGTTCACATGAGTGCATTTACTACTGATGTATACTCTTTGATCAAATTGTTGAATAACACTATAAAAATGTTAAAATACAATTTTAGAAAAAAATTCAATTCTGAAACAATTGATACTACAAAAAAACACATTAGTAAATAGGTGTCATCCGATAAAAGATTTTTCGCTAATGAATGACGAGGAGTATAAGGAGAACAATGCTCAGGCTGAATGTTACTTAGCGTTCAGACAGACGTTTCCAAATCATCCTAGACATCCTTAATCAGTGTGATGGTATGATAAGGTGAATCAATGTGAAAGATTCTCCGCAAAATACTAGTACTCCTCACATAGATTACTTCTAATAAAATTGGAGAAGTTGAATAGCACCGATAAAATTGAATTAAATAAACCTTACCGACTAATTTCCAATATCACTGGAATGATAGCCGTGTAAAAAAATTTCATTTTGTATCTCACTTCTATGTAACCGAATGATCATTTTGACAACTGTAGAGTGTAACTGTTGTAATACCTAGGCCCATTGGTGTTTGTATAGTTATATTGTTCTCGGGGTTACTGTTTGCAATATTACTGACAAGCAGTTGGCATGGTTAGCTTGCTTTACGATTTGCGATACCAGTGATACTGTCGTCAATAGGGAAGTGGCAGACTACATTCTGTTAGCGACGTTCACATGGTTTGCACTACACAATCGCATATATAGTAAATTCCCTAAATGAAATTAAGTCAACATCTTAGAAATAGGCCTTTTTTAAGGAATGTCTGTGAGTCCTCCATCAAGGATTTGATTGTCTTAGAGCTTTCTATTTTTTGGGTTCATGCTTTATGCACCTGACAACTGATAGCAAAAAATCGTAAGTCAAGTCGAAGTACGTGAGCTTTTGGACCGGACTTGTTAACGGTTCATAAGAAGAGCGACAAAACAGCATAGCTTAATGAGACGAAATTCATCATACCTCTACCAGTTAAAGCAATACATCTTCACTCCCTAGCCTCCATCATAGTGTTTAAGTTAGATAGTTGAAGGCACTCGACAGGAAGCCCTGGACCCCCAGTGTGTAAATCTTTACTCGTAATGTAACGACAGAAGATAAGGGCCAGGCAACAGATCGTTTATTGAGAAAATCAAGAGATATTTATAGATTTTTATGTACATTATTATTAGCGTTGTTAGCGGAGAAGCAGGGTCTTCCGACTGGTTGTTTTACTGCTAAAGGTTATTTTGTACTGCTTGCAACCGTTTCTTAGAAAGTCAAGCCATATATCTGCGAATCGTATTCGCACACATTAAGTCTGCTGTGATTGGTTAGTGATTTTCTCAAGGTTAAGCTTTATTGTTTTTTTTCAAAAGAATGGATGCTGAACAAAGAATACCCTTTTCGATAACTTCATCAACAGGCTCTACAGTTATATATACATTATAGTGAATGAATGAATTAGTCTTATGAACAACACTAATACTGTTTAAATAACATCGAATCAATAATACTGATAGATTACAGCTTAATAGCATCAACATAAAATTAGGCTGAATGTCAGAAAAATTAGGAAAGATAGTATTACAAATTCATGAGTTTATAGTCTCTACTGAAGGCCAGGGCAATAGTAGTGGCTGGACTTGATTCTTTTGAACACAGAGCACTGGTTGTTTTTGGGGCGAATTGCAATAGCCTCTGTTGTTTGAAGCATGCAGTGCTTCGATGATTTAGGCAATTTATTAGGTAGCCGGTAGATGATAGAGAAGGATTCTTCCACGTTGGCTGGCTTTGTGGCCGGTTTGCACCAGATGGTTCAATAACGAACTGTTAATGGTTTTCACTACACCTTTACTTAGCCATACTGGGAGATATTCTCGAGCACGAGAAATCAAGTTCCTAGAGCAACGGCCAATATAACTCGCTCCACTACAAGTGCAGTTGAATTGGTAGATACAATTTGAAGTGGCTAGTCTAGGTACTTCATCTTTCAGTCGAGGAATCACCATCGGTCGTGTAGAGAATAAGACATGAAGTTCGCCAGCATTAAAAGTTCTTTGAACTGATTTTCTTAATTTCTTCGTAATTATTTCACCTGGTATATCGCCCTTGAATTAGATAGTGAGTAGTCCTCATGACCTGGATTCGGGGCGTAAACATTGATGTAAATTGTCGTCTATAATTTTGGCTTGCAGACAGTCCTCACCACAGTAACACTAACTTACTAGTCTGAATAATCTATCTCGTTGAGCATTTATGGATGCATGAGTGAAACTTGAATGTCAATGTAATAATTTTTTGTGGTGACGATAGCTGTCTCATTTCTTACTTAGTTGGTTTGGTTAACAAATTCAAGTCATTGTAAAAAAGCATGAATTACAATAGTCAATTGTTGTTGCCTTTCTTGTGGTTATTATGTCTATATTGTGTAATGTATGGTTAGTATGACATCCTGTCTATGCTTTCTCTTGTCTAAATATGAATATATTTTGTCTATTCCAGAGCGTCTTCAATGGACTACATGTGATTTTTGTGCCTTATTCAGTTATGCAAATAGATCCTGGATCTTGGTTACGTATGGTTACAAAGTATCGAGGTAATTGTTATTCTTTTTATGATTACTGTTATTATTGTTACTTTTTTCCATCATAGAGAAAATTTATTTAGTAAAGTCTCAGTGTTATATAGTATGAATTACTGATGACATTTTGAGCACAATTTATTACTCATAATCATATCAATGGCACTCACACGAAAGTTGTCGATCACTGTTGGTTGACATAAGATTATGGTAGAAAATAGTTGAGAGTGGTCAAATTAAAAACTGGGATCAAACCATAAAGTCCTTAATTGTTGGTATGAGCCCATTTAGGAGGGTTTAAACTGTTTAGCTGGGTCTTCGGAACTCTAGAAACCAATGGTTGGAGATTGTTTGTAGTATGGATCAGAATTATTCACAGTGCTGCAGATTCACTCACTCTTTGTAATGTCCCAGATCCATTAAATCCTTATTCTCTCCACATACCTATAATTTCTCTTGCACATTTCTGTTCATCGTAGTTCTTTTTTGTGAAATTTGTTTCTCTGCTGCTTGAACTAGTTTGCCTCTGTGCAAAGTTCTGCCTTGAAATTCAGTCAGTCCGTAAGCTATAAAAGCCTGTCCTGGTAATTAGGAAGATTGGGTCCTGGCAATAAGGCCCTTACTATTACTGATTGAAAACGATATCTCATTATTCGTATCAGCCAGAACTGATTTTAACTGTTTATGATTCTCATGCGGTGTCATTCATTTATATCTTGAGAAATAACACTGCCTTAAGCGATTCCCCCCCTACTTCTAATTTAAAAGCTTGCATCAAGAGTCGTTTAGATTTGTAAGGAAAGTTTACGTCATTTGTGAACTGAACTGTCTTATGGACGTTGAACTTTGCACAAAAGTACATCGGTTTAAACTGTGATACTTCATAAATGCAAAATTGTAAATTGAGAATTGAAATGGAAATGAAATAGGATATGCGGAGGCGTACAGACAAAACAATAACCACATGAAATTTCTCAAGGAGTGGATACATCTACGCCCTGTCACTGGAAGTCCCCAACTACTGACTCTTGTTATCTTGAAGACCTCATCTGGGCAGTCTTTTTATATCTACACGTGGCTAAAACAAATAGTCAAAGACTTCCCAGATGGGTGCCACATTTGGGACTTGACAAACTTATCGGTGAATTCCCTCTTCCCCCCACCCCCCTCGTTCAATGTTCTATGCCTAACCTCAAAATTACTGACCATACTTTCATGAAAGTGAGGCAGTGATAAGCACGTTATATGCAGTTTTAGAAAAAAGGTTCTCTTTCATTCCACTGATGTCAATGTTTAACCGCACGTATATAGCTCATTGATGGCTAGTGGATAAATGTCCTGAAGCTGTATTCAGAAGTCGTGGCCATTAGGGTACACCATGTCAAAGGGAAGTAGATACTCATCGGAGGCATTGGTTGAGAGTAGCGCTGTATCATGAGTTGACAAAGATAGAGTTCACGGGTTATATAATTGCTGTCAACCTGAAAATCTTGGGGTCGATCCCTTTTGGGGTTGTGGGTGTGCACTGTTGAAGAGTTGCAAATTAGGACAAAAAGTTTGTCCAATGTTCTCCGGTTTTCAATGATCTCCATAGTAACTGATGTTGGTTCGTGACATAATGTAACAAATGAAATCAAATCAACCCAAATCCTCCACAAATCCCATCATCTAACTCCCTTATTGTTGATCGATTTATGCCTGAAAGTCAGTCGATTTTAGTTAATCACAGATGCATTTATTCCCTAGTGTGTTTGTTTCTAATTATTGATATTATTATTATTATTATTTCCACCTCTTTTTTTACCTATGTCGTTTTATTCCTGTTTGACTAATATATGTGTGTAGAGACATAAGTGGGATAGCAACTTTGACCGTTTTTATTTTTTTCAAAGAAGATATACCTTATTATTTATTGTCTGTCTATTTGTTTTGTGTCTATGCAGTGGTTTGCAAATGCAATTGATTAATTTTAAGGAAAGAAGTAATAGTGTCTATTGGGTTATTCTGTTAGTACACACTGTACTAATCTTCACGCTTGTCTTACTACTATTATTATTATTATGTCCTTACTCATTGTATTGATGTTGACTGGTTATTATCCTTCTGTTGTCGATGCTTCTCGATTCGATTCTTTGCTGTTCCTAGTGGATCATAGCACTTCAAGCATCTTGGAGTTTCAGTAGCGGTGGGGTTTCTAGCCTCATGCCCAACCTTTGGTATTTTCCTGGGCTTACTACTTACTATAAGGTAGTAAACTGGGTGAGTTTTAGGAGTGTTTTTTTTGTGTTGGGAGTCGAATCTGGACCATGGTTGGCTAGTAATCCACCCCTTTGAGATCTATCAACTCACTTTTGGCGGTGAAAGTTTACACAACCTGTTCATCTTGGTGTTATGCATTGCACCTGAATTACTTATTTTCTTTGAAATAATGTTTTGATTGATAAGTAATTCCATATTAGTTTGTTTATTAGATGTATCACACAGTGAGGGAAACAGTATTATTTACTGGATGACGACGTTTCGAACACAATTTATTTTTGTTCATTATCACATCACTTATAACCACAAAACTTCGAAACTTGAGTTTTATAGTTTTCTTTGTTCTCTCTTATTTGTCGTCGTTGAGGTAGTAGCATTTTCCAGATATCTGGGTGGACAGGTGTTGAATCATTCCTATTACACGTGTTTGCAGTTGATTCGATAAACAAAGCTTCCATTATCAATGTAACAGAGTGGAGAGAGATTGATAACGGAAGCTTTGTTTATCGAATCAACTGCAAACACGTGTAATAGGAATGATTCAACACCCCTCCACCCAGACATTTGGAAAATTCTACTACCCCTAGGACAAGTAGGAGAGAACAAAGAAGACTATAAACTTCAAGTTTCGAAGTCGTGTGATTATAATTGATGATATGATTATGAACAATAAGTTGTGTTGTTGTTGTGTCGTCAGCCAGTAAATAATACTGTTTCCCTCACTGTGTGATACATTTAATAAACAAACTAATATGGAATTACTTACTACCACAGTGCCCAAGTTTTACACATATATTGGTTGATAAGCATTTTCCAGTGTCATGTTGAATGCTGTCACCTTCACTTCAACTTCATATGGAAGTTAGTCATATTAGTTGTCGAAGACTAACTCGTCATAAACATCATAAACCTCAATGATATATGAAAAGGCTAGCTGTCTTTGATCATAGATGTCTGCGTTCTATCTCCTGCGTTCAGTGGTATAATAGGCTGAGTAATATTGAAGTTAGGCATCGAGTGTGTTAGATAAGTAGGGAAAGTCAACCTATGGGATTGTGAAAGTCTAGCCGTCGCCTTCCTCGATGGTCAATGATAGCTGACATGCGAAAAGAGCTAATGGTGGTCCAACCAAAACATGCCATCACTCCATGAAATCTTTGACAGTTCGTTTGAGCCACGTAGAGCGGTGTAGACTGCTTCTTTTTGGGGTCTTCAGGATCTTAAGAACCAATGACTAGAGACTACTATTGGTGGTATGACTCAAAGTTGTTCTCAGTCGCATTGAGATGCATTCACTCTTTGTGATCTGCAGTATCCATTAAATCTTAATCTGTATCCGTGTTACTATTCTTTCTCCCTCATATTTCTTTCCTCTTCTAATCGTTGCTTTTGAATCTCTTTTTTCCCTCTCTTTTGACTTCTTTTGTGTGCGTGCTACATGGTGTGTAGTGTGCACTTCTGTGCAAAGTTCTATGTTGAAAGCAGTCAGTCAGTCTCATTGTTTCGTCATAAAAATGCCATGAAATCAAATAATAACAGCTAGTTCACTTTCTCTATGTGGTTGATATGATGAATATTGAACAATGAGGAGGTTCATTGTGTGCCTGCTCAACTAACTGCATTATGATCGATCAGTCAGATTTTGGTTTAGTAAAATAATAATATGAAAGAATCAATGTGCAGTTCAGTTTGTGATGGCCAACTATGTCTAGCTTCGTAGGTGAACGTTTAGCAACTAGATCTTCGGTTAAAATCAATAATTTTGATCTAATTAACTACTGACTGGTTTCAATATAGAATTTTGCAAAGAAGTGCAACGGTTCGAGTTGTCACATTCCATGCAGCGCACAAAAGAAGAAAAAAAAGGGATTCAAAAAGAACGATAAGGGGAAGAAATGGGAGGAAGAAAGAATAGTAGGATTTAATGCATATGGGAGGTCATACAGCGTAAAGGCATCTGTGCCATGAGACAGATCTGGAGCCGTATCACTAAATGTATCAAGCCATTGGTTGTTAGAATCCCAAGGAGACAGTTAACTCCTCCTTGTGTGGCTAAAAGTAGCTGTCAAAGATTTTATGGACTGATGGCATGTTTTGGTTTGACCACTACTAACTCTTTTTCAAGCTGATACTGTGTCAGCTATCATTGCTGGTCGAGGAAGGCAATGGCTAGGCAGGTGAAATACATGTCCTCGCCGTCCCAATCGATTCACTCTCACAACTTCTCATGTTAACTCCAACTGTATATACAAATTTACATGTATCTGCGGCAGCAGTTACATTGGAAGGACAGAAAGAAGGGCATATCTACGATTTTCTGAACATGTACCATAAAGCTTATGTCTAAAGGAAACAAATGCCTTAAACAGTGCCATCGCCAGGCATCTCATCGACACGGGTCATGAGGTGGACGTCGAAAAGTCGTTCAAAGTTATCAATGGGCAAAAAAGTTCAATTCTCCTTAAGTTTACTGAAGCCATTTCCATCAAGCGCCTGAAATCTGATTTATGCGTCCAGAAAGAAGCGGTTATCAGTCTTTCTTTGCCCTGGTAACTGGATATTTTTCATCTCTCTTTCATCCGAATACGAAATGCTGAAAAGTTTCCATTGTGTATGATTATTATTGTTCGGAATAGTGTTTAATATTACATTTTATATATGTACATATTATTAGTGTATGCGTATATTGATCGATTGATTTTTGTTTAAAATGAACTCTGTGTAAGTATGTTAAGATTGTTTTTGTAGATATATTTAATAATGTTTTTGGCCTGTAAGCAGCTGACGAGAAGGCAACGAAATAAAAGATAGTACCACTTTATTCTGCTAAAACTCTAGTTCTTGCTTTGTTCAAAATCTCATAACTTCGTCGGTTGACTTTCCATCCTTACCTGAAGTGAATATCTTCACGTTACGTTAGGTTGCATAACTATAACTCAGTAACCATTAATCAGGAAGAAATGAAATATCTTTTTTTGTAACTGATTGTAAACGTAACAATTCATTATTTAACCCATTTTGAGTGACTTTACGCAGATATATCCAAAGGATCATGATACTAGTGGTATTTCTGGACCCGAGGGTATTAATGTTTGACTTCATTAGTCTTGACGTCCCATACTTGTGTGTTTTCCACTGAAAGGAACGCTTATCACTCGAACACCTGTAGTCGTATAGGTTCTTCCTCTAACTTCTCCGGTGAAATGTGTCTACATTCAAGGGTTATGTATAAAGCATGATCATTATCTGATCGGTTACAGGATTTCATCATGAGCTGACATTGGTTAGAGAACCATTGGAAAACCTGGGAGTACTGGACGGCTGTTTCCCTCGTCCTAGTTTGGAACTCTTCAGCAGTACGCAACCACTGGGGTTCGAACCCAGGGCCTTCTGGTTACAAGGCGAGCTCGTAAACCATTAGGCCACTTGGACCCGATCCAATGGCCCATGAATTCTAACTTCTGCCAATTCACGATATAGCGCAACCGCTAGCCAATGTCTTCGGCGAGTATTTGTCTTCACACCCGACCTGCTGCACCCTATTGGTCACGACTTCCCACTGATCGTTGATTTTTTTCTTCTGTGTGTACAACTTTGTCACTAACACCTGGTTTTCTTTTTTCGATTTCCAACTTCATATCTGTATGTCACTCATGGAGTGCAGTTTAGAATATATCCATTCATCTTTAAGCTGACTGATTATAAATCCTTTCTGTGTGTCACTTTTCACCTTTCCTGTATAACACAAAATGTCTGAAAAAAAGTGAATTAAAGACAAGAGGAAATGGATAAGGAGGTATACTTATGTAATAATAATAATGATTAGCGTGAAATTCTCTTTACAAGAGATAACTTTGAAAGAAATTGATAGGAGAGAAAGTCAAGCAGGCAGCAGAGTATGCGTATACATTTCTATGTTTTCCAGAAATGATGTCATTTATTTATCTCATAGGATTTTTCTTCTGTCTAGTCTGGTTGTCTTTGTATGTGTGTGTTTTCCTCCCGTGTTTTTTACATATTGTGTGTGTGCGTGTGTGTGAGTAAAACAAGTACTGTCAATGTCAAGAGTACTTGCTTTTTCTCCAACACAAGAATTACAAAAATATATATATGTATTCTTCAATCGTTTCACATTATGAACCTCTCAGTTTATTTAATTAATATAACGAATTATGGATTTCATTGTCTCTGTTATTGGTTGGGGAAAAATTTGTGTTAATGCAGTATATACTACTGAATGATTTGAGTAGTTTCCCAAACTGATTCACACTAATCAGTTTGGAAGTAATTTCAAAAACTATTAACAAAGTATTTGCATGCTTTGGTGGCACAGCGGTAAAATGCTCGTAGACCACGCGTGTGGTCCGGGGTTCGATTCCCGGCCGACGAACTCCCTTACCTCGCTAAACCAATAATAAGATTGGTTAAGAGGGAAGGTTGGGCACGAGGCTAGCAACCCCATCCTGTAAAAATGAACACCACTGCTACCGAAACTTCAAACCTCTAGCTTGAAGCCCTATGTTCCACTGGGAACGTAAAGGACTAAAAAAAATTAACAACGTATTTACTAGTTTTTCTGATTGATGAGTATGGCTTGATTCATCTCGGAGAGAATGATTTACACTCAAACCACATGGATTCTTCTGAGCTATTTTCTACGGATGGATGGATGAACGAACGTCCGGTTGACGATGATCATATTTCGTTTTTAGTGTATACACTTTAGACCTTTACTTCTATGGTATTCGTTAATTATTGCCGCTTATTCCAGCGGTATTATTGTGTTAAACGTTTTCAGTTTCTCAACTTTGGTACAGGCTAAAGGACACGGTGTACCCAGTTAAACAAAATAATATAATTTACAAAATACCTTCCAATGACTGTGAGCTAAGTCAACTACATAGGTCAAACTAGTAGGTGAGGAGTAGTGAAATTATCAGAACATGAGAATTTAGCTAAGGTTAGAATGGTTGATCCCACGATGATAAGTAATTTGGAAAATAAACTCAGCTGTAGCACTGCATGCATTAACACACAACCGTACAATGGGGTGGGTAGGACAGAGTCAAAATTCTAAAGAGTAATATAGGTAGGTGGAGAGCGAGAGAGATTGACTACTGAATCCTGTCTGGTTCATCCAGTCTACACACAACACATGCAACAGTAGTGACTCAGTGTAAATACCAGAGATATGGAAGATATTATTACCACCAGTCAAATCAGAAGATAATAAATAATGTTAAAATGTATTCAGTTCACATTATAACATTCTAACAAGTTATTTTTTTTTACTGTAAAAAAAACATCTTATTTTCCATCTGATTGTATATGAATGATAATGCTAATATATTATTTCTGAATGTACTTTATTTTATTTTGATTTTAATCAAATGTCTAATCAATTTTTATTTATGTATGTAAACGAAGCAAGAAAGTTGTTTAAGTACCTTGATATGATTATGAGTGGCAATAAATTGTGCTCGAAACGTCGTCATCGGTTAATACTACTGTATAGCACTGTGAGACTTTATCAATGGAGTTATACTCTACCATCCGAGTGCCCAAGTTTTTATCCTTATATCAAAAAATTCTCCTTCATTTAAAAATTTCTTTCCCTCCCCCATTTGTTTGTTTTTCCAGCAACTGTTGCAATTGTAAAAAGTCGTGATATGCATTGGGCTTTGTTAGCTGAACGTGATCATCCAAATGTGAATTTATCTTCGCTACGTATGCTTTTAGTTGCTGACGGTTCAAATCCATGTAAGTCTGATTATATACAATGTGAACATTATTGGGAAGAAACGCTTTTTGGGAGATTTCACTTCCTTGTTTCTTTTGTTAGCTAAGCAAATGTCATTTTCATGCATAAGTATAATATAAAGAAGAAGAAAAGTTAATTAACTACGATTATCATTGATTTTCTGTTTAAGTTAGGTTTAATTTTATTCCTTAGACAATAAGTATTATTATAGTTTCCTCGGGTTTCAAATGGAACGTAAAGCTTCAGCAATACATTTGCATTTTGTTTTGTTCCCTACGATCTTTTTTAAGATTACTCCACGATTACCCGTAAGTTCTTATTTCCTCGTCTCATAATCGCCTCCATGTCACCCTCAGATACACACCAAACTTGTTTCCCACTCGGTTCCTACATAAGGGTTTGCCTTGTACGTGATGTCACTCAACAACAACCCTCCCCCCCCCCAACATGTATCCAGTCCATGTGGATTTCCTTTTTCATATTCATTCAGCGATAGGTCCTTGATTTGGTTCGTTGCCTGAATTCTTTGTTCCTCATCCTCTCTGGTCGGCCATCTGATCTTCACTATGAAGCGATAGCATCCGTTTAATAAAAGCCTGCAACTTGTTGGAATTGCTTTTGGGGACGCGTCATGTCTCCGAACTGCATAGAAGCACTGACTGACTTGGCACTACTGTTAAAAATTCTTATCTTATTCCATCAGACAAATGCATTAGGTCTTCGCACAGATTTCAATGTAATGCCTAGCCTTGACACATTTATCCCCACCACCATACTGTTTTGCATGGTTGACTAGTTTACTAACTGGTCCCAAGCCCGGAGAAAATGGAAAGGTTGGGCATGGAGCCAATTACTCTACCCCAGGAAACCAGCCTAATCGTTACAGAAACTTCGAAGGCCAGAAATATATAAAAATAAACTATAATTTATTTAGATCCTCTATCATTCCATTTGATTGTTTTGTCCTCTTAGCTGCATGGTTTAATTGTAAAGCTTGCATTGTCCTTCTAAACAACCTCTTCAACGTTAGCTTAGATTTGAAGTGAGCTTTTGGAATTCTCCAGAAATACCAATTTAGAAATACGCGATCTGGTGATCTTGACTATGATTAGTTGTCATCAGTGGTTTTCGTTGTCTTTGTGTTCATTTGCATTTGGTAATAATAACTTCTTCGATCTGATATTTGATCGTTTTGTTAGCCACGTGACTTGTTCTTTATTGGCTAATAAATCTGATCCATGTCAACAATCTTATAGGTTCAAATTGATCCAAGTACCAGGCTTATTTAGTATTTCTGCTGTTTTAAATTTTCACATTCCCCCCCCCCCCTTCACAACAGTGTCCATAATTGTTTGCATGTATTGATATAAAGGAATACCTGTGATGTGCCTAGGCAGGTATTTTGAATTGGACGTCCACTTTGGCCAATATGTGTAGTTTTTCACAGTTCATACAATTTATCTTACAGATAATGGTTGTTGGTTTTATCTTCTTATGCTGTTTAAATCTATCGGTCTGTATTGATATTTTGTGTGACTTCTATTCCGAATAGTCTTAGTATCCTTGCATTGATTTCACAAAATGATTGTTTCTTACAGTTTTCGAGGTTGGTTTCTTGTTGATAATTTAATTTGATTGCAGGCATCTTTCGATGAAGCTCTAGAAAGGTGTCAATTTGTCTTCAAGACGGTCAAGTAGAATTCCTTAATAGACGAGGATGCTAAGTTTTTTAAAGTTATATACTATGTCGACATGATTAAATAAATATCAGCTTGTACGATGTTTTTTATCATTCAATTATCTACTTTCTCACCAAAGCTTGTGTACTGTGTATGTGTGTGTGTGAGGAGGGGAGGTGGTCGTCTCTAAGTAATATCCTATCCTTTTTAAACTATCTCTTCTTATACACTTATTCTCTCGGCAAAGTCTAAACATGACCAAATTACCATTAGGTGTCACTATCTTATAGGGTTAATGTGTGTTTGTTATATTGCATTTGTGTGCAGAGATGATTAATTGATTGATTGATTGACTGATTGTTTTGGTCTATTTGATGGATATGAATGATATTCACATATGTGTACTGATTATCGATCAGTTGGATAGCTTTAACTATTCTGTTTATTATTGTTATTGTAGGTAGTGTTTGACTGATAATGGAATTTGACCAATTCTCATAGTGTGCAGTCTCTTCGTCTTTATTTATTGTATAATACTGATAATTGAATTTATGTGAAATAGTCTAAAAATTACAAATATTCAATAGGGTTTTTATGAGAAGGATCGATCGCTCAACAAATATGTAGGAGAAAGTGGAGATGGATCGGGCATACATTGAGGAGGCCGCCGAATGACATCGCACGCCAGGTCATTGCTCGAGTGGAATCCCGTTGGGAAGCGACGAGTGGGTCATCGGTTCGAGAGTGACATGGAGGAGATCGTGTGAGGAAGAGGTGAGAGAGTTTGGTCAGTTGTGGAGCCAGCTGAAGAGGACGACAGAAAACAGAACAAAGTGGGGAGATGTGTTGCTGAAGCCCTATGTTCCACTCGGAACGCAAGGAAATTATATATATATATATATATATATATATATTGTGAGAAGGATCAATCTGAGTTTATAGGGTCCATAAAAATTCAGAGCATGAACGCAGTGGATTGGTGATTCATTCATCCTACTTTTCAACACTGTTAGAAGCACTGTTACATTATGCTCCTTGGAGTCTAGCACATTGATATCTATCTATAAACGATATGCCTATCATCAGACCGCTTTTTGTCTTCTTAAATCATTGATTCTGCTTCCTTTCCATCTTGTTCAATATTGAAAAACTGAATACTTCGAACTGAATAACTTTCCTGTGTTCTTATTGGTTTTTTTCCCATTTCATTTCCATTGTTTTCTATTTATAGAATCTAATACTTTTGTCTTTTCAAATTTTGTTCATTCTGTTAACTGTCTGAAATATTAAAGAGCAGTATAACATGATAGATAAAAGCACCAGTTTTGATTGGACACTATTCAGTAACTATTGTGACGTGTGTGTGTCTAGTCCTATCTTTGATGCAGACTGAATTCTATCAGTCAAGACTGCAATATTCAATACAGTCCTACAGGAGGTCAATCGTGAGGCCGATTAGCTCAGTGCCAAAGTGTCTGACTGTAGCACTGTGTGGCATAGGTTCGAATTTGAGGAGGGACATGAGTTCCTTCAAGGTCGCAGATATGTCTTGCTGACTGATGAATGCCAACATGCACGAAACGTAGGTTCAAGGTTTCCTACCGATTGCCTCCAACCATCTAAAAGCGCCATTTTTATGATAGCATCTAAGTTGAATTCAAGCTGTTAAGAGAGATACGTAAGCCCACTTGATTTCGCTTATGTTATGGATTGGGAGTGTGTTTATGTCTGTATGTGTGTGCGCTATACTTTAATATCAGGACCTTAGTGTAGAGTAATCTTTTGTCCTGAAGCGTTGGTGTGCAGAGATTTCATTGATTAAGAACTAAGTTCAGTTAGAGGACCATTGAAAACCAAGTAGTCCGGTACTGTCGCAAACCCACACTTTAAGATTAGTCTAATGCTCATTAGTGATTGACTCCAGGACAAAGTTTTCTGGAGTTCCTATTAGGGAGTCATAATCAGTGGGATCCACCAGGTAGGGTACGAGGACAAATACTCGTCGACGACATTTATTGGCGAGCGTGTTATAACGCGAATTGACAGAAGTTAGAATTCATGGATCGTTGGATTTCATCCTAGTGTCTGAATAGTTAACTAGCTCGCTTTGTAACCTGAAAGTCTTGCGTTCGATCCTTGGTGAGGTCATAGGTGCATGTTGCTAAAAAGTCCGATATACGGAAGAAAGTGGTACTTAAAAACGTGATCTTAGTTGGTGAATAGCGTTGATATTTCAGCTATGATAATAACAGGTGCCGTCAGTCGAAGACTTGCATGCGTTCAAGGCCATTGGAGCTTTCGCACCCCTGGGAGGCTATTGTTGAACTTCGCCACTTTTAAATCTGAATGATAACAAATAGTAAATACAAATGGGCCTTTGTGAATGGTTTTGATCTATGTTACCAATAGACTAATGATCCTGAATTAGAGTTCTGTTCCATCTACTTTAGTTCGGGCAACTGAGCAGTATCATCGGTTTTTATTATTATTATTTTTTTATTCCTTCACGTTCCCAGTGGAACATAGGGCTTCAAGCTAGAGGCTTGAAGTTTCTGTGGCAGTATTTATTTTTACAGGATGAGGTTGCTAGCTTCATGCCCAACCTTTCCTCTTCACCAGCTTTATTTCTGGCTTAGTGAGGTAACGGAGTGTGCCGGCCGAGGATCGAACCCCGGACCATATGCATGGTCAGCGAGCGTCCTAACCGGTATACCACCGACGCACACCACCGCTCACACAATAAATGTGGCTCATAACCTTGTCCACAGAAATCTATTCGTGTTTATTTTGTTTAAAAACAAAAGCACCTCGAAGTTACTGTGCCTTGTCATTACCTGGCGTTAAATGTATTTCATGGTCAAAATGAATTTATCTTTACACATGTATGTATTCATTTTCTTTGTCGTCTGTTTTTTTTACCATAGGGTCTTTAAATTCATGCGACTCTTTTGTACAAAAGTTTCGAGCACGTGGATTTTGTCCTGAAGCTATCTGTCCATCTGCTGGAAGTTCAGAAACCCTTACACTTTGTTTACGTCGACCACCGCATCAAAGTAATTCAGCAATGAATTCAGTGAATGGCAAGATTGGTACCAACTTACGATCTGATTCGCTGACATCTTCTGCGCCTAGTTCTGTGAGAGGTGTTATCTCTATCCACAGTCTTACCTATGGTGTTGTACGCGTTGATACTGAGGATTCGTTAACATCACTCACCTTGCAAGATTGTGGACAAGTTCTACCTGGAGGTGAGAATAAGTATCTGAGTTTTTATCTGAGAACTTTTCGTGAATCTACTCAATATTTGTTTCATGAGTGTAATGCTTTGTACAATAACGTGTGTGTCTTTTGCTTTTTTATAGCTTCAGCAGTTGTTGTACGTCTGGGTCCTAAACCAATATTATGTCAGACAGATGAAGTTGGTGAAATATGTTTATCTGCAGATTATACTGGTTCTGGATATTGGGGTCTTCGTGGACAGACTGATGCACATTTTCATGTAGAACCTATACATGAAGATGGTACTCCTGTATGTTCATCTACCGGTGGGAAAAGGTATACCCGATCTGGTTTTCTTGGATTCCCCGGTCCAGCATCATCGGTACGTTATTTCCTTTTTTAGTGTTCCTTTCGGCTATTTTTTTTCTTTTGCAATGTTTGTTGATTTTAACATTAGGTATTCAAGTATTGGTTTGTAGGGATTTGATTGATTGGTTACAGGATTTCATCATGAGCTGACATTGGTTAGAGAACCATTGGGAAACCTGGGAATACTGGACAGCTATTTCGCCAGTCCAGTTTGGGACCCTTCAACGGTACGCACCCACCAACGGGGTTCGAACCGAGGGCGTCCTGGTTACAAGACTAGCAAGCTCGTAGACCATTAAGGCAATGAGACCCGATCCAATGGCCCATGAACTCTGACTTCGGTCTATTCACGACATAGCGCGACCACTAGCCAATGTCTTGGGCGAGTATTTGTCCTCACGCCCGACCTGCAGTTCCCTACTGGTAACGACTTCCCACTAGATACAGCTGTTAAAGTGAAGTTTATTCAGCGTCTCCATTTTTCAGTACTCCCTTTGTTTGCCATTCCTTTTGAGCACCAAACCAAAACTAGAAATTATTCCATAAAGTCTTTAACACTTGGCTAGATGTACCCAGGGAAGCATAGGCTGCGTAGTTAGAGTCTTTGGGATGCTAAGAAGGAATAACTGGAGAATATTGGTTATGTGAATCAAAACCGTTGTTAGTGTCGCAGATGCACTCATCTTTTGTAATTTCCCAGATTTACTAAGTCCTCATGTCTCTCCATGTTATTTATTCTCTCTCCCACACATCTGTACTCCACATATTGATTTAGAATTTCTATTTTCTCTCTTATCTCTACCTTAGTGTGCTACATGACATGCGGCAACTTAAACTGGTGCACATAAAATGGTTATTCTGGATAGACCAATTTGTACACAAGTTTTGGCGAACATCACATAGTTGTGGCGTGGAATGGCGAATGTTCTTAGCGGTTGTGATGAGCAATCGATTGAGTAACAGAGGGGAAGGGAAAATCGAAACTTGGATTTGTTTAGCTTCCTTCCTTGGAAATCATGTTTCCTTTCCTGTGAACCCTGCTTACTAGCTTGGGCTACAGTCTTGTAAGAAAAAATCGATCGTAGTATAGATTCATATAAAGTGGAAATGAAAGTAAAGTGAACCGTAACTTGACAACCCTTTGCAATTCGAAGCGGTTGTCAATGAGTTAAACCTGTTGTGCGAAGGCTAGTGATACTACCTGGTTGTCCTAAACTCAGTGGGTGGGGTGGTATTCAAACGCGCTACCCACTGGTTAGAAGTTTAGTGCCTAGACAATGAACCGCAGCTCCGCACATATGCATCTAGAGAGAGAGAGACGGGTAAAGAGAAGATAGCCATTGAAAATGTGTGGTATTGATCAGAAGACTGTAGTGCGAGTAGAGGTGTATACGTGTTTGTAGTTTAAATATTTCCCAATTTTCGATATATTCACACACAGGTGTGGACGAAAGCTGCGATATATATTAAAATAGAATCGACTGATGCCTAGTCTGTCTTTCCAAATAAAAAAGAAACGTCATTGTGTATTCTGATTACATTGAAGAAACATTTTACTTTTGCCACATTCCGATACAGTCGACGAAATACAACTTCTCTCTTAGGTCTTATTATTCTCTGGTTTGTTGGTGGTGGTGAGGCTATCTGAAGCAGTCACAGGATGGCACACTGTAAATGCTTTATTAGGTGATGAATAGAAATGAAATGAAAATCTAGGATCAGCAACCTGTGCTGAAGTGCCATTCCATCACCCTTTCATTTGAACTACAAGAATTAACTGCAGTTCAGGTCATCATTCCAGTGCAGTTATCGTAGGTAATACCCAATTGTCATATGGATGAATGACTATCTATTTATCACCTGCGTGAAGTGGTATAATAAGGTGAGCAATATTGAGGTTAGGCTTCAGTCGAGTGCTAGGTAAGGAGGGAAAATCAGTCGACGAGGCTGTGAAATTACATCGAGAGATGATTAGGACATGTGTTACGTATGCCTAGTCATCGCCTTCCTCGACCGACAGGCAATGTTAGCTGATATAGGGTCAAGCTGGAAAAGAGCTAGCGGCGGTCAAACCAAAACATGGCACCAGTCAATGAAATCTACAACAGTTAGTTTAAGCCACGTAGGAAGATGTAGACTTCCTGACTGGTTGGGGTCCTCGGGACGGTAAAAACTAATGGCTGGAAACAATTGGTGATATGGCTCAAAATCGTTCTCAATGGCTAGCGCAGATGCATCCACTCCTTGTGACTTATGATTTCCAATGAAACTGTTTTGTTCTTTGTTATTACTATACCTTTGTCTCACACCTCTGTTTACTGTCTCTAATATGCATTTCTCCTACTTTCTTCTCTTGCTTTGTGTGCTACAAGGAGGGAGTGTGGCGACTTGAACTGCTGCACATATGTGCAAAGTTTTATGTCGAAAACCGACCGACCGACTGATTTCACTAGTCCCCCAACTAGATCTTTTCTTGTTAATCTGAAGGCTACTGAATTCGAAGGTTGAACAGTGGGTTGTTGCTGAATGTTGAGGCTATATGAGTCATTTGATGAATTGTCTATGGAATAATGAATTAAGTATGATTCTAATTCAGTGCGTGGTGGTGCTATTTGGTCATTATGTCAGAGTGTTTTTTCTTATTACTTTTCCTATTGAATACAGTTCTCTTCTCATGTACACCTACCTCCTTTTTTATTTTAAATCTAGGGTGGTTTAATATTTATCTCCGGTTGTATTGATGGTTTAATGACAATTGCTAGCAGACGTCATAATGCTGATGATATAATTGCCACGGTTTTGGCTGTTCAACCGACAAAAATTATATACAGAGGACGGTATGTATGTTTTTTGAAAAAAAATTAAATAATCCAAGGTTTATTTATATTCTTGTGTGAGTGAGAACTCAGTTACCTGGAACTTATTTTTAATATGTACCAGGCTAGAAGGTAGATTATTTGCGTGAGAGCTGATAATACAACCCAGTAGTTGTCTAAGCTGAACTAGATAAAGAAGTATTTGAACTCAGGTCTCGTTGGATGCTGTTTGACTACTGAAGTCAATATTTCGCATCCTGTATGTACCTGAAATCAAATTTATTCTCCTATCAGTTGTGATTTGATATTAATCTTAGACCTCTTCATTCTGAGTCTTTGTTTGGATTGAATTTATTATTTCTCATACCTGAGCAACATCGTTCGAGCTACATGTTGAAGATAAACATTCATTTTTATCTAAAATCAGAGTATTGAAATGTATAAAGTTTTGATGTAGTTGTGTTCTCTGAGTTGGATGGTTTATTTGCGAAGCTTTCATTGCCCTACCAGGGAACATCTTCAGCGCATAATTCAATTCGAAGTGGGCTTTTAGATTTCTCCATGAGTTTATTAGTCTTCTCTCCTGGTGCCCTTGGATGTGATTGGTTGTTTTTGTGCGTTTTCACACCACCTAGGCTACTTGTATTGGAACTGATTGTTTCCTTGACCTGAAGTTTGACCATTTGTGTGTGAGATTTCCTCCTTATTGATTGATAAATTTTGTCTATGGCGATGTGTCTATTGATTGACGATTCACTGGAATTTCTGGCAGCCTTCTAAAAATTCTCTAGCATTCTTGTTGTTTCCTCTGTCTAATATTTGAATGCTTTCCCAGTCGAATTCATATATATGGTTACCTGTATGTAGCGATATGAGGGAGTGGATGTTATCTCTTTTTTGACGGCTAGTTTATGTTCATGGATACGAAGACGAGAGGGATGTCCACTTTGGCCAATGTAGTGTTTTCCGCAGTCATTGCAACTTATTTTGAAGTATGCACTGAAGATGTTGCCTAGTAGAACGATGAAAGCTTCGCAAACAAGCCATCCACCTCAGAGAACACAACGACATCAAAATCATCCACCTGAGCTACAAATCGTCTCCATCATATCTAGATGTATAAAGTATTTAGTGTTAGGAACAAGATACGAATTTTCAACACTGTTATCGAGTCACTGCTTCGTTGTGGTTCAGTGACTTTTATGTGTGTATGTGTGTGCGCCACCAAAAGCATTTCTAACAGGTTAGAGCAAACGTTCATCAATACCTACCTTCTCTCTGGGTTGTTACTGAAGTTCAGAGTGCCAGCCCAAAGGACTCAGGCGGTGCAGTGAACTAGACAAGAAGCTATTGCCTAACAAATATAGAGAAGGAAATGTCAATGGGTTGGACAGACACTAGGGAAACATTCAAGTTACATTATATGCCATGTCCTCGTTTAGAGCGTGAATGAGAAGTGACAAGTTTAATGTGGGTCTGAAAGACATGGGAGGGGAGGGGTCATATAAAGAGACCATGAAAGCTTGTCAGTAGTTGTGGAGCCATTTGGAAGTGATAACTCAGAACAGAGTTGAAGTCCTATTTCCTACCGGTAATGCGACGAATAATAAGTTGCTACTTCTTCCAGTGGGAAGGATTCGTGTTGTTTTGACGTAAACTCCTGTAATACTAGAGTTGTCAGTTATTAGAAAGTGAAGCCACTGAATTCTCTCTTCTTTGTTAAGGATTAAGTAGTTCTTATTTCTTAGCAGTCAATTAGTGCCCCATTTTCATATAATCTATGGCTTATAAACAATATGTGACAGATGGCATAATCCCTTATGTCTATAGTAGTGTCATTATATACTCAAGCTTATGAATTTAGATAATAGTAATAATTATCTCGTTAGTTGTTTCGACAACCAATTTTCTTCCCCTTGTTATTATTTCTATCACTGTTTATGACCTTTTCATTAAGATTACGTGATAGAAAAGGAGATTCTTATCTTGCACTAATATTTCTTTCTTCAGGATTGCTGTCTTCTCAGTGGATCTACTGAAAGATGAACGTCTAGTTATAGTGGCTGAATTAAGACAAGGTTATTCAGATGAAGCTGCTTTCACATGGATGTCGCTTGTCCTACAAGCTGTTGACAGTATTCATCAAGTCAGTGTTTATTGTTTAGCTTTAGTGCATCAGAACACATTGCCAAAAGTGAGTTTTCATGTTTATTCCTTATTATTATTATACTCACTGTTTCAATCACTTCTCTATTAAAATTTCATCATCGTATGTTAACTCTTTGCTTCTGCTTCAACTTTCCCATGGAATATATTCGGTGAGAAAAGAAAGTCAGTCGCTTATTATTATTATTATGCTGTTGTTCCCTTGCTTTCCACTTGGGACATAGGGCTTCAACAACATATCTCCGTCTTGTCCTGCTTCCTCTAGTCCTCTTCAGCTGACTAGGCTCACGACTGCCCATAGTCTGTGATCTACTCATACGATCTCTTCCATACCCTTCTTGGACACTCAACTCTTCGTTTCTCATTCGGATTCCACTCCTTAGGGGCATGGCGCATGATGTCATTCGATGGCCTCCTCAACATATGTCCGATCCATCTCCATTTTTTTCGGGATATTTGATTGGTTTGTTCCCATAGTTTCTTGTTGGTAATTCCCTCTTACTGGCCATCTGATTTTCCCTGTGGATTCAGTGAAAGCACCTGTTGATAAAAGTCTGCAATAACATGTTAGTAATGTTTTTCGTGACGCCCGACCAGCCATCGGTGTCTTTAGTAGGCAGTGCTGGCTAGCATAGGATTGGGGTGGAAAAGAGTTAAAGGTGGTCAGAAGAAATTCTGGAGTCTCTGACTCTTTATTTGAGCTATTCAGGGAGATGTTGGCTGCGTGGCTGGGGTCCCCGAGATAATAGGAACCAACAACTAGAGACTTTCCTACATGGCGTAGAGTTTGTATCGTATACCAAAGCTTTGATGGTTTCCTTTCTTTTCGAAGTTTTCATTACTGGAAGTATCTGTGCCTACAGCTAGACTTTATTGGCTATGGTGGCACCATTGCTTTTTGGTTTTCTGAGCTGGGATTATGTGTAGTTAGTTCCTTTCAAGGTTTTTGTAAATAGTAATATCACTTTTCTTTACTACTGTTTTTTTAATGAATAGTATTTCCCCCCTTCGTCTTAGAGTTCAGTATCTATTTAGTGAATTCAGGAGTTAACACATTCTTTTCCCCTAGTGTTCATGAAGTTTCGTATCTGAAAGCTTGATACAAACTTTCTCAGTCTGATAGACGTGATAATGGGGAATATACATCTGTTTCCATATGATCGATCCTGTATGATGTCATCCAGATTGTATAACGTTTAGTTTTGCTTGTTATATCGGACGTCAACTATGTAACCTATACTTTTCTTACACTTCTCAAATTAATAGTCAGTTGCTTCATACATTTATAATAAGCTGAGGAAAGAAAGTTTATCGATGTGGTTGTGAAACGGTATCATTTGAGATGACTAGGATATGTGTTACGCAAGCCCAGCTTTTGGTTTCGTCGGTTATAGAATCTGGTTGGAAGAGAGTTGGGGTTGTCAGAGAAAAGCGTTAAGTCTTGGAGCTTGTTTATTCTAGCCAACAAACGGGATGTAGGCTGCTTGGTAAGGGTCTTGAAGATGATTAGAGACTTCTTCTGACATGGTGAAGATGTCTTTACTTCTTGTTAACTTTCAAATTCTTAAAATTCTCATTATCTCCTCCATGTAACTGTCATTTCTGCCGTACAGTTACCTTTACTCTAGTTCTTTTGAATTCCTTTTACCATATTCATATACATATATAAGCTCTTATGGAGTTTGACAACTCGAACTGCTGTCATTCTGTTTTTGAAGTTCAGATTCAGCCTATCAGATTAACATTATGTCTTCTTGTTTGGTGTAAGCACTGAGATAATTGTGTCACAATTGTAGTGATTTTCAGCTTCGACGATTTACTTGACCTACTCTACAATCTGACGCCTACATACATCATGTGTATTACCAGTAAAGATCACTGAGGCTTTCCACTGTGTCTTGCTTTTATGGGTAGTGACTAGCATTGGAATCCAGCATGCTTTTCAAACAATTAGTGTTAGGTTCGAGTCTCAGTGTTGCAACACCATCATTCACTGTGAATCGCTGGTATACATCCATCCGACGAGTCCTAAAGTAGGACGAAATGTGCATCCTCGACCCCCATGCTAGCCACACCATTCACCAAAATAACATCATGTTAATCCTCAAGACATCGTCGAAGCTTTCCTACTAGGCAGCGACGGATATGACAATGCAGACTGGATATTTCGGTCTACTATGATCAATAAATAATACGAAGTTAACTTAAACAAACAAATGTGCTTTACCAAACCTTGAAAATTTCAGAAATGTCAAAAAAGAAGCAAGAGAAATATTTTTCCTATCTTCCTCATCTTTCTGCATACTGTCTTGTCTATTATACCCCCTGATATAGTAGCATTTACATTACTTCTCTATTTGTGTTCATCATCATTCTATTAGTTGTTGTGTTACACAGTGGTGGTTCTATCTATTAATCCTAATTATCTATTGATTTCTTTTATGATTGATTTGCTTGATTCACTTTTAAATGATGAACCAGGCATTTTTTAATATTAAGTTTCATATGTTATATAAACAAAAATATAGGCACTTGTGTACCTGTGTGTGTGCGTGTGTGTGTTTGTGAGTGAGTGGGTGGGTGATAGCGCTATTTGCCTCATATCATATACTTTTGAATGCGCGTATATAATTACCAGCTTGTCAGTTAGCAGTTGGATTTTTATAGATATAGTAGTGGTGGCAGTATTGGCAATTGCTGCTATTCTTCCTTTCCTTTGTGCCTTCTGTGTTGCTGTGTGTTTGTGTTTGTTTATGTATGTATGTACTAAATTAAGTAGGAATTTTTTTGTTTGTATCGAAGGCTGTTTTGTCTGTCGCATATTTATTTATAACAGCACATATTAGCAGTTTAGTCTACTTTCATTGATATTGGCGAAGTTATTGACTAGAAACGCTTGGGTTCATTTATCACAGCTGTTAACTTGACATGAAGTGGTTGGAGGCAATCGGCAACGAAGCCCGTGACCTAGATTTCGTACTTGTTGGCACTCACCAGTCAGCTAGGCGTATCTGCAATTTTGAAGGAACTAATGTCCTCTCTGAGATCCGAACCCGCATCATTCAGTACTGCAGTCAGAGAAGTTACCACTGGATTACTGTTGACCTCCTTTAGGACTGTGATGTATACTACGGAGAACTGAACGCATTTGTCATTAGAATCTAATATAATATCGACATGTATGATATGCGATCGATTTATTGGCGGTATTGTTCCATTGTATTAGACATTCTACTTTCAACAGGATGTGTTATGGATTCTAACTCTACTCCACCCATCAAGGTTTGGGTAACTTGAATTTCCATTATGGAATTTTGAAAAAAAATTATCCACTGGTTAACATTGCCATACTTCATAAAAGCAGGCATATAATTGCAGGAGAAACATACAAAGAAACTATAATCAATAGAAATGTGCTCGGGACTGAGCATAATCATATGTGGAGTAATGAGGATTTAATGGATATTCTGCCTCGATGGTTCTGTGTGGTAGGATACTCGCCAACCATACGCTTGGTACAGACTCGATTCCCAGCCGACGCACTTCTAGGACTCGCTTAGTCAGTATTAGGTCTAGTAAGGAGGGAAGGTTGGTAGTCGTGAGGCTAGCAACCACAACCAGATAGAAAAACATCATTGCAGCTGAAACCTCCAGGTTCACGCTTGAAACCCTATATTCCTGTCAAAATGCAAAGGAATGCATAAAAGGATCTTGGGGGTCGCAAAGATTGCATGAGTGTGGGATCGATAACGATTTTGCATCATACTACCATAAGTCTTCAGTCATTGATTCAAAGCCTTATAAGGACTCAGGCCAGAAATTCTTAATCTCCATGTGTTTCGAACCCGTAGTCAACAATTTCGTGAATTGATGACATGTTTTCCTTTGACCACTCTTAACTCTTCTCTAACCTAATTCTATGTAAGTTAACATATCTCTATGTGTTAGACTAAGGTTTGGCCCACGTAACTCGTGTCCTGGCCATTCTCACAAATTCAATGATTGACTTTCCTTATCTAACACTCTACACCTAGACCTCGGTACTAATTTTGAGCAAATCGAGAATCGGGAAGGTGAGAAGCACATTCATCTACCTGAAACCAATCTGGAAATCTCCGTCACTCAGCATCAACAACAAAATTCGGATTTTCAATAAAAACGTCAAGTCAGTCAGTTCTTCTATACGGATCAGAAACTTGTCGGCGGGTCACAAAGAATATTTCCAACAGCCTGTTGCAGACCTTTATCAACAACTGTCTTCGCTGGCTCTATACTGAAGATCAGATGGCCGGAAAGAATCACCAACAAGAAACTATGAGAACAAACAAAACAAGAACCAGTCGCTCAACAAATATGCAGGAGAAAGTGGAGATGGATTGGACACTCGCTGAGGAGGCCTCTGGTTGACATCGCGCGTCAGACCAGTGCTCGAGTGGAACCCGAAAGGGAAGCGGCGAGTGGTTCGTCGGTGCAAGGGTGACATGGAGGAGATCGTGTGAAGAGGAGTTGAAGCAGTATGGACTAACATGGATGCAGTTGAAAAGTACAGCAGAAGACAGAAGCAAGTGGAGATGTGTAGTTGAAGCCCTATGTTCCACTAGGAACCCAAGGGAACAATAATAATAATAATATTAGGGTGTGGTGGTTTATAATATCTTGTGTCCGGCCAATCACCAAACGCATTCATTGATATTCACGTGGTTTTTGAGTAACTGAAAGCATTGATTCAGGTGGTTTGGACATTTCGTATTCCTAATATATGGCGACTTGCCCCAGCGTCTCTATTTTGTGAATTAAACGAAGATGATATTGCAGCAGTTTTCAGAGTGGTAGGCATATCTCAGGGTGTATTCGCTGCTTTAGTGAATTCATACTGATACTGACACAATCAGGTTGTTTCGTCTATTATTGTTCTTTCTTCATTCACATGGATATTCAGATCACCTTCTGAGTGTAGTGAGGCCGTGCAGCGTGTTGATCACTTCACTTATGTAGGATGTTGTATCTGTAGTCCTAATGAACTGATTGCTTATGCAATCTCAGCACGGATACAAAAGGCCTTGGTGTGTGATATCCGGCTATCGATCAAAGAACTTGTGTACTACACAGCTGTTCACTCTGTCTTCCTCTATGGCTGTTAGACATGGCCATTGAAAGTGGAAGGTATTAAGAGACTAGCTGTTTTCGGCCCTAAGTATCTACCTTCTGTCTCCGTGTTAGGTGGTATAATATGATGAGTAATATTGAGGTTAGGTGAGGAGGGTAATTCAATCGATGGCGTTAAGCTGCATTGTTTGAAATGGATGGGGCACGTGTTATGCGTGCTGAGCCACCGCCTTCCTGGTCGAGCAATGTTAGTTCACATGGGGCTAAGTTGGGTTGGAAAAGATTTAGAGATGGTCAATTCAAAATCTATCATCAGTCCATGAAGTTTTTGACAGTTGGCTTGGACCAACCACTTATGGATGTGTAGGCCGACGGTTTGAGACCATTGTTGAGATGGCTAGAGACTGTTCTCGTTGGTGCAGATGCAATCACATTCTTTTAATTTTCTGTATGTAATTTGTTTTCTCATACTCATCTACTCATTATGATTTTTCTTAAACTTCTTTTTTTCTCTACCTTTGTGTGCTACATGGAGTGTGGTAACTTAAACTGATGCGTTTCTTTGCCAAATTTATGTTGAAACTTAGTCAGTTAGTCAGCCCGACTGTTAATCATGTATGTGTTTTAAGCAGAATTGAAATGTTCAACCATTATTCTATTGTGTACACTTTGTTTTAAATTTAACTATATATTGATTTCCGATTACTTGATTTCTTCATTGTTTCTCTTGACATATATCATGTTTATCTGTTTATTTACTTATTTACAGACACCTTTTGGTGGCATAAATTGTCATGCTGTGAAGAAACTTTTCTCTGAAGGTCATCTTCATCCTACAGCCTTATTACTTTGTCCTCATTCAGCTATACAAAATTTACCGCAACCACGTCAACTTAGGCCAAGTTTAGTTGGCCCCTCAGCTATGATGGTTGGTCAGGTAGTTCAAGGTGTAAGGCTTGCTGAAGCTCGTGGAAGACCTATAGGCCCACCGACATCTTCTAATATAACATCTGCATCATCGGATAATGGTGTAAGTTACACATTTTTTGTTTTATTGGGTTCAATTGTTGCTTTTATTATTGAATAGAATCATTTACTCAAGAAAGGCTAAATTTGCGGCATAAAATAATGTCATCTTATTTTTCAGGTTCTCATCAACTGTGGACTGCTTGAAATTACAGTGTTTTTAAAGAGGATGAAAATAACACACTTGAATATGGGGACGATAACATCGCAATAGTTTTAGTTCAAGTCATCATCATCAATTTACATGTCTCTCAAAGGAGAAAACGAGTGGGAAGAGTAGGATTGAGGAAAATTACGTTATAAGGTTACTTAATAGTTCAAGAAAACGATTCATCATAAGATTGAAATTATCTCAGTGATCTGAAACTACTAATATAAATGGCTGCGTGACCCCAACCAATGTCGTCGGTGGGACATCCATCCTCACACGTGGCATCTGGATGAACCTCACTGGGTCGCGCTAAATCACGAATTGGTAGAAGTTAGATTTCATGAGCCATTGAATCGGGTTCCAGTGGCTGAATGGTATACGAGTTTGTCTTGTAACCTGTAGGTCCTGGATTCGAACCCCTGTGGTGGGTGCGTACTACCGATGATTCCAAAACTAGTGGGATGGAACAGCTGTCCATTACTCCTTGCTGGTTTTCAATGGTTCTCTAACTGATATCAATCCGTGATCAATTCGTAAAAACATAGCCAACCCTTACAAATCAAACTATAGAAAACTGTATGTTTCATTCACTGTTTGCAATATATAAGAAAAATTGAGAAATATTCTTAATAAACGCATTTTCTACACTGTTGTTTTTTGAAATTTATGAGATAGATTCTTAGCTCAGTTTTGATTATTTACATCTAGTAATCTATCCAAATAAGAAATTGTTAACATACATATTCGATTATGAAATAACATCTCATTGAGTTCCTACTCAGTCAGCGACTGAGTAGTCGACAAGTTAGCGTCGTAACCTTGAAGGTAGCTCGTTGGTGCGTACTGCCACCACCAGACAGTTGTCCTTTGCTCCTTGATTTCCACTGATTCTCTACTCAATGTCAGTGGGGTAACGAAATCGACATCTTTTCACATTTAATTGGTGGATGATGACTAGCAGTGAAATCCAGGTGCGCATTTCGTCCTATTTGGGACTCATCGTCTGGATGTACCTGCATTTCTCAGTGAGTGATGATGTTCCCACCGAGTCTCAAATAGGACGAAATGTGCATCCTGGATTCCACTGCTAGTCACCATCCACCAATTAAATACTAATTAAATGCCCAGACATCGTCGAAGCATCTGCTCAGGAAGCCGACATGTCAACCTGAGACCGACCACTTCGGTCCAATCAATCGACGGGAAAATCTAAAATTCAATTAAATCTTTTCACATTGCTTTGATTTTGTTAAGTATGCATAATATTACAAACAGTTGATGTAGAATATTCCTAATGATTTCATTGGCTATCATTCTGTTACACACTATTCCCCCTTTTTCTTTCTTTCTTTGACCATTTCAGTTCGAATTATTAACAGAAATACTTATTCATAGAGCAAATCAAACTCCAGACGATAGATTATTTACTGTGTACAATGTTAAAGGACAAGAAGCTTCAACGCTTACCTGTGTGCAACTACTACGTCGTTCAGAACGACTGGCTGCACAACTGAAAGAGAAGGGTAAAGCGCAAGTTGGAACAATTGTAGCATTACTTTATCCTCCTGGTGAGTTGAAAGGAATTTTCACGACCAAAAAATATATATATTTCATCTATAATATGACTTTCATATCTTGAAGATACTATTTTATTGATTACTAATGAAAAATAGATTAGCTCAGTGGTACCGCCTCTGACTGCAGCACTGCACCGGGTGACACAGGTTCGAATCTCACAAGGGACACGAGTTCCTTCAAGTTTGCAGATACGCCTTGCTGACTGGTGAGTGCCAACTAGCACGAAACCTAGGTAGGTCCAAGGCTTCCTACCGATAGCCTCCAACCGTCTAATATCAACAATCCAAAGTGCACCGTAATGACGAGCACCACCTAGTGGCATGGTGGCCACATTGAAAACTTGCCTGATAGAATTCAATCTGCAACAAACAGAGGACTAGACACACTGAACTAGTCGCTGACTAGTGTCCAATCAAAATAAATTATCTTTTAGAGGTCTTGTTATTTGTGGAGTGAAATACCATTCATCTACTGCACTTACCTGTAGACGATAAGGATTCACACCTATTGCCCTTAGTTGTGATGATACCAGATGGCTGTTGAAAACTTTATAATTAGAGCGAGTAGGTTTAGTTAGAACTTATGGATGATGGCACTAGTTGGATTGTGCGTCATTAGATTAGTAGGACGCTTAGCTCATATCATTCGTTCTGTGAAGTACTGGTATAATTATGATTCTCAGAAGATATTGAAGTAGTAGATACAACAGTCTACACAATACCATACTTCAAAGCACAGATCACAAGTGCTAATTCACATACGTATATTCCTCGGTATGTTGGAAATACTATTGCTGATCCCGGAAGTATTGGGGGTAGGGTTTATTTGCTCTATTGTGATGTGATATCATATCGGAATAAACCTAGCAGCAGATTGTAAATTGTCATGCTACCTTTCTAACACGTAAAGGCATTTCAGTTTCGACAGTGGAGGGTTCATGTACTTAAGTCTTTCGCTTATTTGTTTTGGAATCAAATTCCTCCCTCTTTTACGATGAACCGAGTAACTATATTGTATTACAAGTTGATGTTTGCCTCACAACATATCAAAAAACGTACTACACTACTATGAACAATTAGATTGCATTATATGTATGCTATGCGGTGTTCCTCTCTCTCTGATTGGAAACAGAATCTCTTCTTCCTCATTTAAGTTCAATATCCTGGTTAAACAACAGCAGCAACATCCAGCGCCAATCACCATCAACGGGAGGGATTTGAAAGAGGTTACTTCATTCACTTATCTAGGGAGCATTGTCTCAACCACAGGAGGAACGGACGAGGATGTCAAATCGAGAATCGGGAAGGCGAGAAACACATTCATCAACCTGAAACCAATCTGGAAATCTTCCGCTGTTACTCAGCCTGCATCAACAAAAAATTCGGATTTTCAATACAAACGTCAAGTCAGTTCTTCTATACGGATCAGAAACTTGGCGGCGGGTCACAAAGAATATTTCCAACAGCCTGTTGCAGACCTTTATCAACAACTGTCTTCGCTGGCTCTATACTGAAGATCAGATGGCCGGAAAGAATCACCAACAAGAAACTATGAGAACAAACAAAACAAGAACCAATTGCCCAACAAATATGCAGGAGAAAGTGGAGATGGATTGGACACTCGCTGAGGAGGCCGCTGGTTGACATCGCGCGTCAGGCCAGTGCTCGAGTGGAACCCGAAAGGGAAGCGGCGAGTGGGACGTCGTGCAAGGGTGACATGGAGGAGATCGTGTGAAGAGGAGTTGAAACAGTATGGACTAACATGGATGCAGGTGAAAAGTACAGCAGAAGACAGAAGTAAGTGGAGACGTGTAGTTGAAGCCCTATGTTCCACTAGGAACCCAAGGAAATAATAACAATTATAATAAAGGTGATAGCTGAATACTTAAAAAAATAATTAGAACTACATGTTTAAAGGAAAGCAGTTACTCTTGAATACTACTCATGATTCTCATGTTTGTGTCAAAGGTTATCGAAGTGATAAGCAACTTCTACTGCTAGAAGGACGGATTTTTTGTTGATTAAAGATGCTTATTAAAAATTTTAAATGACTGATTAGTCAACAATGAATACTCTTTTCGAGAATTATCGTTGTGACTGATAACATTAGTGTTTTGAATAATATAGAATCAGTAATGTCGATAGATCATGGTTCGAAAACTTCTGTGAGTGATAGTTGACGTCAATGTAACACTAAAGTGATATAACTAAACAAAACTAATACGGAATTCATGAATTTATAGGTTACACAGATTGCCAGGATAGAACATACTGGTTGGATCTATTTTTATGTACGTAGAGCTACGTTGTTTTAACGAATTTCAAAGGCTTCTGCTGTTTTGAGTAGTATTTGGTATCTAAAGGCCTCTGGAAATCTATTTTGGAACCCGTTAGATGACGGTAAAAGATTCTTCAGTGATAGCTTTATAGCCTCTTTAGGCTATGTGATGTAATATCGACATGTCGGCGATTTTTACTACACCTTTATTTAACCCACACTGGTAAGTGTTACCCAGTACGAAAAACTAATTTTCTAAAGGATCAGCCAATACAGAAGTGCCGGCTGGTTATTGCACAGTTGAAAGCGTTAACTGGGATTAAAACTATAACATGAGACAAAAGTTTAAGCTTCCTATATAATTGGTGCATGAAAATTACAATGAGATGTTAAGCCTACAGCTAATTTCATATTTGACGTTTTAAACTCTATTTACTCATCATTTTGATCTTTTTCATATGTCTGTGTTCAGTAAACTGTTTCTTTCATAAAGCTTATCAGAGAATATTTAATTTCTTCTTACAACTTTTAAAATAAAGGTACCGAACTGATTTGTGCATTTTATGCATGTCTTCTAATCGGTGCAATTCCTGTGCCTGTTCGTCCACCTCGAATCGATTCGTGTCCTCCTAATTCCAGCGGTGGTACAAGTGGTTCTGGTCCAATCGGTTTATTATCTGGTCCACCTGGATCAGGATCAACACCTGGTCTAAGTTTATTAGGCTTAGGAGGTGGAAGTCCTGGAGGCGGTAGCGGTGGCGGTGGCTTTAACGGGAATTCTGCTGTTGGCGGCAGTGCTGGTCAACTGTCCACTGGTACTACAGGCAGCTTTCCTAATGTGTATTTTCGTCCAAATGCGCCTAGTTTAGATGCTTCATTGGATTTAGTGTGGAATGTTGTCAAGCATTCTGGCGCTTCAGTTATTTTCACGCAGACAAGTCTGTTCAAATTATTGAAATCTAAGGTTAGTAGAACGGGGGTTGTATCTCATTGTTTTCCTGTTTATATTCATATTTTTGAGTTCTGCTGGTGATGTATCGTTGCAGTATTATCATTATCTTGGTAATCCGAATTTAGTGGAGGAACATCCACTGTTTTGTGGGATTCCTGCATACTCTCCTTAAACAACACCTTTGGTGATTTCTTTGAATTCTATTGGTAACTACAGTAGATTTTTTGATCTCCTTTTGAATTCACAATTCACTTTCAATGAGTTTAGTTGATTTTCTTCATCTTAAGTGTTATTTCAATATTTTTTAAAGTATTAAACAGAAAAAAGATGAGCCTAACACATATTACTGTCTGTGATAACCGTGTTGAAAAATCTATTTACAGAGCTGCACTACTCAGTGTCAGAAACGTTTATAAACCTCATTCAGCGGCTATATTATGATATCACCTGCTAACGGGAAAGCTCACTGAAGCGTTTGAAGTGAAGATAATAGTAAGGTAGTAAGACTGCCGCTATCACCGATGGTCTTCTTAATTGAGTTGGACTAGATCATGCAACCGACCGTGAAAATGTGAGAAGCTGGGTATACGTTGGATGGACGGTAGGCCCCTTGAAGGCCTGGATTTCTCAGATTGCTAAGATCTCATGTTTGATTGCATGGAGGATTTCATCATGAGCTGACATCAGTTAGAGAACCACTGGAAAACCTGTGAGTACTGGACAGCTGTTTCATCCTAGTTTGGGACTCTTCAGCAGTACGCACCCACCAACGGGGTTCGAACCCAGGACCTTCTGGTTACAAGGCGAGCTAGCTCGTAGACCATTAAGCCACTGGGACCCGACCCACTGGTCCTTGAATTTTAACTTCTGCCAATTCACGACATAGCGCGACCATTTCGCAATGTCTTCTACGATGAGTTACTGCCTCATCTTCAACCTGCTGTACCCTACTGGTCACGGCTTCCCAATACTTGAAGATCTCATGTCTCGCAAACTGAAAGATATACAGGCAAAAACCAACGAGTTGGTAAACGAGGTAGGGAAAACAGAGCTTCAAGTGAACGTAGAGAAGACAGTGGTGATGAAGATAGCTAACCAGCAACAACAAACAACAACAGTCATTATCAATGGGAGAAATCTAAGGGAGGTCATATCTTTCACTTGTCTCACCTGGGGAACACATCTGCTGCAAATATAGACGTCAGCTGGGAATGAAGGACAGACAATCATTATTTTTAACACTAGTGTCAAGTCAGACAGTGCTTCTATGCATTTCGGAGACTTGGCAAGTCACTGAAAGCATTTCCAAAAGCTACTGCAGGCTTAAATCAGCAGTTGTCTTGGATCGATGCTGATGGCCAGATGTGAGATGTTTCCCTCAGATGACCAGCATATCAGCCATGTTGCCTTTCCGCTCTGGAGAGGTGGGGGTGGGTGGGTTAGAAAATGTCCATGAAAAATGTACATCCCAGCTTACCTTGGACATGTATTGCTCATTCCGAAGCATCACTTTCCTCCACGAACGATCTTAACCGACATACGACTAGGTTGGAAAAAAGTTAGGGGTCCATAGACTCTCTGACAGTTGGTTTGAGCCAAACATGAAGGGATGTGTAGACTGTTTGTCTGGCGTCCTCCGGATGCTAAGGACCAATGGCTTGAGACTATTGGTGATATGACTGAAAGCCTTTATCGATTGTGCAGATGCATTCATTCTCTGTAATCCCCTATATCCATTAAACTGTAATATTTTTCCGTGTTTCCATTCTTCCCTTTCGTTATATCTGCTTATTATTACTATTTTTTAATCTAATTTTTTCTCTCTTTCGTCTACTTTTGTTTGATAATTGGAGTGTGGCAACTTGAAGTACTGCCTTTCTGTGCAACTATCCATGTTGAAATTCAGTCTATCGATCTATCAGATATTATTATTATCCTACTGTTAAAGGAGGTAGGTAGCTTGTTTCTATCCGGTAGGTGATCATCTGATCATCCGATTAGACTTTAAGTTAATCAGACATTTTATGTATATAATGACGGTGTATGAAAGAATCTCCGATAACATATGCTAACACGATCTGGGGTGTATTTCTTAAAATTGTTTTTTTTATTATCGAAATTGATAAGACCTCCTGTGTCCTACGTTGTCCTTCATTTTATTGAACAATCCAAGGGGTAACTTTTTTCGTTTTCTAGATTTTATTGATTTTTATAAAAAGGGAAACATCACCCTTACCTTACCTCTTGTTGTTGTTTTTCCCCCTTCCCTTTCCTGTAACAATTTTAGGAAGCTGTCAATCGTATACCGTTCAATCATTGGCCAACAATACTTGATTCTGAAGAATCTAGTCGTCGGAAATCCACTGTGTCACAGCTGCAACCATGTTTAGAACAACCAGTTGCCTATTTAGATTTCGCTGCATCGACCACAGGTGAGGCGTGTGTGTGTGTGTGTGTTTTAAACGCTACTTGATGTGCTTTCATGTCATTCTCTATATCAGCTAAAATTACACATGGTTTTTAGAAAATTAATGAAGTGAATAAACCACGATTTTAAGTGTGCATCTGGGATGCTGTATGAAGTACTTTGAGAAGAGATAGAACACTGCATGATATGTGTGATGTTTTCCTCTGTTTTCAATGAGGACTGTTGGTTGAAAAGTAGTTGGTTATTTTGTTTGTTGATGCGTTTTCAATGTCAGTGTTCTTTCTAAAATACCACTTGAAATTCAAGCTACTCTAATTCCGTTGAAATAAATTACCGGAAGCAATTTAACCTAGATTGTTTTCCTCCTAATCGAAGTATTAGTCACTTATTACTGTCTGCTGTGATTTAAAGTGATACACTAGGGCTCTGTGTATGCCTATTAAATCAAGACACAAGCTAAGACCATTTCTGGACACCTAACACCAGTGCTTTAGGAATGAGCAGTTGCATTAAGACGTTAATTTGGTCTCCCAATCTATTCGTAACCAAACCTTGATATTCCCTCTAATTGGGTTAAGCTAACCTAGAACTAACCAGATACCTTACTTTTGACATCATTACACTCAATTACTCAATACTTCTTTCCCGTGAATATGGTGTGTTATTATAATACTTGGCTTCACTGCCTTGATGTGTGTGATTGAGTCTACCAAAGTCATCGGTGTGTTCACGCCTTTTGAGTGCCTAAAGTTTAATTTTCACCATACTGTTTGCTAATTAGTATGAAAAATGTTAACAGCTGTTCAGAATTCAAATAATTTCTTTTGATGCTGTTGTGTGTTGTCCTAACTGGATAGTTTAGGTATGAAGACTTCATTATTCTGTTTTAATGCTTAATGTCTTTTCCTCTGTCGCATAAGGCCTATTTACTGCCTTCACACGGTGACTATTGTTTCTCACAAAAGAGAAAAGGTGAATGCAAACATCTAGTGCTTACAACCAGATAGTGGATATGCAGCTCTATCTAGGGGTGCCGGAAAACCTTGATTCTAAACCTATGGTTTTATATAGACTCGAGAATCCGAAAGGATCTAATGGAGTATGAAGTCGTTTGGGACACTGGCAACCATCGGAACGTAGCTCCTGAAGTTGCTTCACTGCATTGTGGATCACACCTTAAGTCAAATGCTTAGGAGTGTACTCCATCTTGGCGTCCAGACAGCATCCCAACCCGTCGTACAAACGATGAGATTTTGTGTGGCTCATCTTTTGGTGCTCAAAATGTACCAAGTTTGTACTTTGATAAATAATAATCATAATAGGAATACATGGATGAACAAGTCTCCGAGAACAAGTACTGAGGAAAGAGAGGGAGCGAATGAAAAATTTTCATTTGAGCTACAAATCTTTAGTATTTTTAATCAAAGTGTGCTTGCGTGTTTCTGGTTTCCGTAACGAAAAAGTCCTAACCATAATTTGAGTAATTTGAATAGGTTGTCATGTTCTTTGTTGAATCTCTATGAACGAATCAGATGTCGAACGAACGAACGAAGTATAATTTTGCAATGTCTACATTCCTTTCGATTTAGTTAGGGAGTAGTATACGCTTCTGATAAAGTATGTTACATTACAGTGAATTATAGTATAACTGTGCGTTGGTGGTTCACTGGTGGTAGAATGATCGCCAACGACGCGTGTGTTATCCGGCGTCCTAATCCCGGCCGACTTACTCCTAAACACCTCAGATAGTTAACTAACCCATAGTGAGTCTAGGAAAAAGGGAAGGTTGGGTGTGAGGTTAGTGACCCCACCGTGTTAAGAACCACAGCACTGCTATGGTGTCGCTAGCCTCACGCGCGTAACCTTCCCTCTTTTATGTGCTTAATGTTGGCTGGTAAACGATACATCTGTTAAGGAGGCGTCGTCTGAGACTCGAACCCGGGATATTTGTTTGACTAGCAAACATTCCACTGTTGTGCCACATGACAAGAAATTTGGTAACGCAGTCATCTATTGGTAAGTTGATTTATAGATATGGGCAAAATATGTGTACGATATATTCGAATCACAATTTACACAATTTGTCTCCCCCCATTGTGCTGCTTTTGTCTTCCATATTGTACTTCTTTTTCCATGTTTTCTGTGTTGTTTCAGAAGAATCGTTCACTTCTCTTCTCTATTCGATATCTTTGCGAATGATATACATATTTATATCTGTATGTGTATACTACTTATGAATCTTATCAGTAGCACTCGCCACACTGCTAGCTAGGTGGTCTATCGACAACATCGACTGACCATGAACTCATATATATATATATATATATATATATATATATCAAAAAACTGCTACGTGATGTGTTTCTTTTTCGTAAATATTATTGTTTGACCATTTTTGTTGTCGTTGTTGAGAGAAATGACGATAATAATTATAATAATGATAACGCCCTAACAACATAGTCACTTGATCATTACGTTTCCATTTAGTATTCTTATTTCATAAATCGTTAATAATAATAACACGTAATGTGTAATGAATGATAAATTTCATGAACTGGTTCGATTGATTTTGAAGTCATTTGCTTTTTCAATTCTTCAATATATAGCCAATTATGGCTGGCTGATTTGTTACATCTGTATTTGTTTATCCGTCCCTCTGGTTGTGTTCCAGACAGTTGGCTTCACTATTGTCCACAAGCCTTTATTTCCTCCTCCGTGTTGCCTTCGGGCTAATACCCACCACGTCGTTTCTTAATCGAGTTCCACTTGAGGTCCTGCTCAGCGCTCCATATCACTAATCAAGGCACTCTACTCAAACTCACGAAGCCGTGTAAGGGCTTGTGGGGAATTGTCATCTGAATTGATAACAACCAATGGTATCCGTCAAGGATGTCCACTTTCCCCATCTCTGTTTAACTTCATCATAGATATGCTAATGGAAGTATCCTTAACTGAACTTAATGACTTAGGAATCGACTTGTTACCAGGGAATAGTCTTATAGACTTAGAATATGCAGATGACATTGTCCTGTTAGGGAAGGATGCTGACAAAATTCAGTCTTCTGAACACCTTGAGCAGCAATTTTCGTATGTTTGGCATGCGATTCGCCCCTGTAAAATGTAAGATGCTGCTACAGGACTGGACTACGTCAACTCCTAGCTTAGTGATAGGGAGTGAAGTGATAGAACATGTTGACCACTTCACCTATTTGGGAAGTTGTATCAGCATCAACGGACTGATTGGTGACGAAATCACAGCACGGATCCAAAAAGCTCGGGCTGCTTTCGCTAACTTACACCATCTCTGGCGTAGGCGTGACATCCGACTATCAACCAAGGTACGTGTGTAGTGCTCAGCAGTTCGCTCCGTCCTTCTCTATGGCTCTGAAACATGGCCAATACGTGTTGAAGACATGAAAAGGTTGACTGTTTTTGATCATAGATGTCTACGATCTCTTTCTCGCGTTAGGTGGTATAATAAGGTAAGTAATGTTGACGTTAGGCGTAGAGTGTTGGGCAAAGAGGGAAAATCAATCGATGAGGCTGTAAAGTTACATAGATTGAGATGGCTAGGTCACGTGCTGCGCATGCCTAACCATCGCCGCCCCCTCCCCACGGGCATTACTAGCTGATATAGGTGCAGGTTGGAAAAGAGTAAGTGGTGGTCAAACAAAAACATGGCCTCATCAATCCATGAAATCCCTGACAGTTAAACTGAGTCAGGTAGGTAGATGCAGACTTCCGGGTTGGGGCCCTCGGGACTCTAAGAACCAATGGCTGGAGACAATAGGTGACATGGCTCAAAATCGTTGTCAATGGTGCAGATGTATTAAGTCTCTCTAATCTTTAATCTTTTATATTCTTTTCTACCATTACTCATTCTGTTTCACTCTTATACTTGTCAAAACTCTATTGATTCTCTTCATTCATTTTCTTGTTTACCTTTGTGTGCTATTTGGAACGTGGCAACTGGAACTGCTGCACTTCGGTGCCAAGTTCTATGTTAAATCCAGACAGACAGACTTTTCAACAGAGTATGTCCAATCTATCTGCATAATAAGGTGGGCAATAGGTTCGTGGTTGGTTCGCTGCTGTGCTGGAGCTCTTTGCTGCTAATCTCTACTGAACATCAGACCTACAACGTCGAGCTAGCGAAGGTAGTTGTTGATGAAAGTCTCCAGCAGCTTGTTAGAATTGGTTTTATTGACCAGCGCACCAAATCTCTGAAGCATATCGAAGCACTAATTTAATATTATCCTTGTAATTTCAAATCTGTTCCCTTATGTTGAGTGCAGTAAGTTTGCACACCGGCTGGTAAACACTCCAGCATATTATTTAAATCATGAAATTATTTGAAAAGTGGAAAAGTGGATGTGTAGCTCCTGCCTTATATATCTTCATTCAAATGTGAGTTTTTCATCCTATCTTAGTCGTATAGATGGTTCAATTGTGAAAATTTCATTATTCTATTTTGAGACAACGTCTTCAGTGTTGTCTTCTGAATGATGACGTTGAGTATGATTTTTTTCGGTCCCGGAGGTTTTCTTTCCTTGTATATCATGAATTGATATTGAGGTAAAGGACGACCACGAAGCATGAGATTGATATTTCGTTACAGTTTTCTTTGGACTTGTCAGCTTAGTACTTGCAAGATTGTTTTGAATTATTAAGCACAGTACTTGTCAGTTTATTAGGTTAGCATATTGATAACAGTAATACAATCTAACTGCTTTCTGGTCCCATCAATAGCTTTCACCACGGTGTATTTAGTGATTTTATTGGCATTCGTAGTAGTCGGATAGAGTAAGGTATTTAGTTACGGTGCTGTAGTTGAATAAATACTGTACTCTTCTCTCTGCGTGTCAGTGGATTTGAATTGGTTACTAGTCTTCTTCTAGAAGAAAAAATAGGTATTCATAACTTCTCAGGTGTGTAAGATGATTCATCTGATCCTGATTTGTCCACAAGGTTTACTTAAGAACGAATTAAATGCTTACAAACACG